TCATTAGACTTGTATTCAATATTTCTGTAGATACAACCTAAAATTATATTTGCCCTACCATTAGCAACAGTACATTGCTTGGATGGCTTAAGAAACTGATCAATCAAAGCACCCAGACCTTTTTCTTACATAACACCGTTAAGGATATTCCTGTTCGAATTATATTTATAATTCAAACTGTGATATCTCACGTACATTACCTTGCATTTATTATGATTAAAAGTCATTTACCATTTATTAGCTTAACTCATCGACTTTTGTAAGGCCGTAAATAGCATCCTCCTCACAGCCACTACCACCCAAAACTTTAATGTCATCAGAAAATTTAAATAATCCATTAACTATTCCTTCATCCATGTCATTGATGTAATTGTAAATAAAAAATAGCAAAGGTCCTGATGCTGAGCCCTGCGGTATCCAACTCTTTACAATAATCCAGTTTGACTGAACTCCATTTATAACAATCCTCAGTTTTCTTCCATCTGGGCAGTTTTCGATTGTTTAAGAAGTTCTTTAATTAAAAAAGTAGTTCTATATTTTATTGTTTTAATTTATGTATGTACTAGAGAGGGCTCGTCATTTCGATGACGTCAAGAATCTATTAATTTCCAGAAGTATTTAGTGTAACTAGTTCGCGATGGGTAGTAAGTGAGAAGTTATTGTGTTTCACTTTCCCTTGAATGTTAGATAGTGAGAGTTATCGAGTCTGTTCATTCATCTATTAGGTAGGAAATTTTGTGAATAAGATTTGTTTTTGTCAATTAAACGTAGGTGACATTGGTATCACAGTTTCTATTGGAAGTGAAAACATTGTTTGAACTTATGCCTACAACTTGTTCACAAAATGAACGTAGCCTGTTGCAGAAGAAATAAATTAATGCACTGTCGTTACGGGGTTGGACTTTACATTATTTTCACCAAAGAATTCGATAGAACACAGCACAAAAATATAAAGAAGTAACATTGTATTAGACATGAGGCATAATTATAGAACACAAAGGCAGGAAACGATTATAAAACTTACGTTCTCGTTTTTATGCTGAATCAGTAAGTAATTTTGAATTAAAGTGAAGATCTTGCAGATTAAATCAATAAAGAATAATAAACAGTGTGAAAATTTACAGTTATCATAGGTGGCGATATAATGATTTATCTTTTAATGGATAAACAATAATTAAAGAATGATATTTGTTGTTGTTAAGCTATACAATGGGCTATCTGTACTCTGCCCACTGTGGATACCGAAAATTGATTTTTGCTGATATCTTGATGATTGTTGTTTTCTTAGTGCAAAGCTACATAATGTGCTATCTGCACTCTGTCCACCACAGTAAATTGAACCTACATTTGTTTGCTTTATAAATCCGCAAATTTACCCGACCTACCAGGGAACTGAAATTATAAAGAGGGTGGGCTTATATTAAGTGATGAATTAATAAAGCTATAGAGGAGATCAGAGATATTTTTATAGTAAATATATTTTTGTTTATAATATTGTTACGTCTCTGTTTGTTTGTTAATTTTCTATAGAAATTCTTTCCCAGAAACTTCAGCGATACAAGTCCTTTCTTAAATAAAACTAGTTTATTCTTTCTCAATACAACTTTGCAATACACTTAATTTCCACAGTCACTTTAACTTAAACATACGCTATAATTCACAACGAACTATTCACGCACTTTACTCACAACCGCGCTTGATTCCATTGTCCGTCTCTATCTGTCTGCAATTAACATCTCTCCATTCCGTTACTTCTCGCCGGTCTTATATATACAAAATAGAGGGCGCATAGAGAAGACTAGAGTTGCCACGAATAAGATTAAGAATACAACTAATAAACTAATCTAAATTAGGGAATGTGAACTATAACACAAATAAAAGGTAAACGGTTTTGTGTAATTTCAATCTTGTGAATATTACGAAATTTCTAGATGATTTATTTGTTGAGAATATACCAATTAAAGTGACCGCATAAACCCAATGAGTTCGCAGACTTGCCACTGGGGGAGGGAGACATTTAAAGTATTGTTACGTCTCCGTTTGTTAATTGATTTTCCGTAACTTCGTTCCGACGAAACTTTAGCGACACAAGTCCTTACTTAATAAAACTGGTTTATTCTTTCTGAATATAACTTTACCGATACACTTATTTTCAACAGTCGCTCTTTTACAAACGTTTTAACAACGAACGTTAACTTCAACAATACTTCCTGACTGCAATTCAATTACTCACTACCTACACACACTGTTCCGTCACGTTGTCACCATCTTATATATATACCAGACTACCCTATATCTAGTAATCTCCCGACTATTCCCGAAGGTTCGAGTCACGTGACCTCGCTGACGCAACAATATCTTACTCGACCTACATCTTGGACGCATATTTATAGCCTGACTGAGGCCTAAAACGTTCCACAAACTACGAGATAATATTATTCAATAATACTCAATTCAAACAACGAGAAAAATTTAGAAGATTCTAGTGAAATGATGCAATAATACAATAATTGCCAATTCACAACAACTGAATTACACAATGTATGATCCATACAGAATTACGTACACAAACCTGCGATAAACTATCACTTCTAAAAATAACTAAGTTTAACACTCATTCTATACTTAAAATCATCTAAATGATAACAGTCGCATTAACCTTAACAGGCATGTATATCTAATGTTGCGTCAGCGAAGTCACATGACTAGTTTCTAGAATTATCCTGTACCTTGGCGAATGCTCTAGCATTTACTAGATATGGGGTAGTCTGGTATATAAAAGAGGGTGACAACGTGACGGAATAGTAGTGTGTGTAGACAGTGAGTAATTGATCTGCAGTCAGAGAGAGAGACGTATTGTTGAAGTTAACGTCGTTATTATAGTTTGTTATAGCGCGACTGTTGAAAATAAGTGTATCGTAAAGTTGTATTCGGAAAGAATAAACCAGTTTTATTAAGTAAGGACTTGTGTCGCTAAAGTTTCGTCGGAACGAAGTTACGGACAATCAATTAACAAACGGAGAAGTAACACTAACAAATATTATTATGCATTACAAATATACACATATACAAAGTACAGTATTTACACAAATCACTAACTTTCAGTCGTGCACAGCAGGAATCTGAACCCCTTTATACCTGTGTACACTGCCCTGACACTTTCTTTTGTCTCTGGTCTCAACAATAAGAAATAAAATAGAACCTCTTGAACAATTTGACTGGATGTCAGACGATTTTTATATTTTATTCTACTATAAACGAAAATTATAAAATTTAACTCAAACGAATTTGTCTGTACCTTCCAAATGCACCTGTTCTTCACTTAACTCGAAGTAATTCTTAAATCACCACATTTTAAATAAAAAATACGCAGAAAAATGAAATTTTCTCGTGAACAAAAGTGTGTGCATTCTGAAAAAGACTAAAATAGCACTCTTGAACCTTTTTCACTGTATTCTAGGTCAGGAAGTGGAAAACATGGTGTGAACATTCTCGACACAAATTTTCAACTCTTTCGACTGTACAAAAGATATTTAGTAGTAATAAACGTTTATTTTTTCTTTATGTTTTAAGACCAAGTAAATAATATATGTGTTAAATTACCAAAAGAATATTTATTAATTAAAATTTATTTACCACATAAAACTTTATAAGCACTGACTATAACGTTAGTAATAGTAAGCCTATTTGTAGTCTAATTAAATATATAAACGTAACATAAGGCTTAGCTGAAACACAACTTGGTAAATTTTATTTTGCTTTTGGCTACAGTTTAATGTCATAAAACTTCTGAATTAAACTATTGTGCTGTAACATCATCGAAGATTTAACAAAAAATAAAGAATCAAACACAAACCTTTCTAACAAATCAACATAATTCGATAAATATTGAGCAGTCAACATAAACGCCTTAAATTTCGCGCAAAGTTACACGAGGGCTATCTGCGCTAGCCATCCCTAATTTAGCAGTGTAAGACTAGAGGGAAGGTGGCTAGTCATCACCACCCACCGCC